AGAATATGTATTCTTTGTAAATATTTGCTTTTTTTAAATGAAGTAGCTTTATGCAATTATCGAGATTAATTTAATTTGTTTAGTAAGATCAACTAAGAAAGAGATACTGCCTGGAAAAAAAAAAACATTTCTCACAAATAATTCTGTCTAGGCATGATAGGAGACTCTAATTGGTTCTAAATATCATGGACTACAATCTTTATCAGCCTTTATATGTCCCTTCTTCCAGATAACTGTAGATATTCTTTATGTTATACTGAAAGATTGTTATAAAGATTAACAACAACACAAAACAAGGAATGTTTCTTTGTAATTTTCGCTTATCTCATCATTGATTTATGGAAAGATCCCAATGCAAACATTGAAGTTTCCATTGTCTTTTTTTGTTTTGTTTTGTTTTGTTTTGGAGATTTTTGTTTTTGTGTATTTGTTTCTCTTTCTCACTTCTGTAGATTAAATATTTGCAAAGTAATATGAAAAAATTGCATCATCCAAAACAAAAAATAATTAAGCGTACATCATAAATATGTAGTTTCTGATATTTGGGTACTCTATCCTTTTGATGATGGGTATTTATAATATTTTTGACTGGCAGTTAGGTCATTTCACATGTGTCATACACATTTAATTCTGGGAAATAATTTAAAAATTGCTTGATTTCAATCAATGTTTACCTTGCAAAATAGAAATAAAATTAAAGCATTCTAAGAGCATTTTAGGGTCATGACAAAAAGTGTATTTGTAATAAATCAGCCTGATTTGCATATATTTAACTTTCTTGATTTTAAGAGTCATTTTAAACAATTAAACAAAACACAATAACTTTTTATTTAATAGCAATTTTTATATACTAGCTATGTATTTCAAACTTGGTCTTTTTGATCCAAGGGATTTTCACATTAAGGACAGCAAATTATATTTACTACAAATGTAAAGACATATAACATCTTCCTTTTTTCTGAGCCTAGAACCTAACACATGCACACATAGTCACACAAATAGGTAATACATACATAAGTGTATGTATATGTACATGTGATTTATTACAATGAGATTATAACAGCTTCTTTACTGAATGCCCTCTGTGCCCTGAGCACTACGCTTCTCATGTTTTGTCTCACTTCATCTTCATATCAGCAGCTTGGTGTGGATGTAGTTAGCCCTGTGTTGCAGTGTAGGAAATGATGGCTTAGAGACTTGAAGTAGCTAACCTAAGGGCACATGGCTGATAAGCAGCAGTGCAATGGAGGTTTGGAGGTTCCTTCCTAGTTAGTCTGTTAGCAATGCTGCCTCATCAGTCTGTTACCTGTAGTAGTCACATAATGAGAAAAAACAAGCCTCCTGTCCATGCTCCCACACTCGTAGACCAAGCAATAGAATTATTTAGAATGTATGCACTTGTTGTCAATAGACTGTCAAATCCTTTACCACTGTGCCAAGGCAGCACATTTTTTAATAACATGGAGTTCCCGAGGCACCGAGGGCTAAAACAAATGAACACAAAATGAAGAATTCTATGATAGTTTTAAACAATGTCATTCTGCTTCCAGTCCTTATGAGTTTTCATAAGGATCCATAAAAAGTTCCTTCATAAAAATTCAATGCTAGAATATGGAGAATAGGGTGCTTAGTGTGCTATTCCGGGACTAATGGCTGAGCACGTAGCCACCCCAATCACAGAGTGGGAAGCAGAACCAGTCAGGCACATGCTCTGATGAGGTGTCAGGGCAGTGCCCAGGGCTGCTAGAAACCACCACAGGAAAGCAGCCTTCCTGCTGTGTTCTTGCGTCAGAGATGAGAGGGCAAATGAGCTGGGCAAACCCAAAGGCTGATGACAAATTGCCAGTGTCTGTAAACAGCAATTGTGCCTTGAAGTTGATGCGTGTGCTTAGATTCTATTCTCACAGAAAGGTGTGTGAGTGTTCGCATGTGAGTGGGAGAGAGAGAGAGAGAGAGAGAGAGACAGAGAGAGAGAGAAGGAGGGAGGGAGAGAGAGATTCCTAGTATATGCTAACTGGTAGCATTTATAATACTTTGCCCATTCAGTGACAAGAATTGTTATAATTGATGTGATATTTGCATGTTAGGTATTTTACTCACTTGCACATTTTAAAATTAAAAAGAAAACCTTTAAAATTCTGCCTGTCAAATTGTATTTAGCTTGTCTTCTGTGAAGTATAACCATGACACTCTCCAGAAATAATGTTTGACACAGTTCCCATGGAGTTCAATTTATGGCTTTCCTCCAGTTCTGCAGAACCATACGATCTGCCTCCTCCAGATCCATTTATGGGATTTTTTTCCCCGCTGTAGTTACGTAGAGTCTGAGAAATGTCAGCCCCGGAACCTGGGAAGTATTGACAGGACCGAAGTGTCTATCCCTCTCAGTCAACATCCCTAGTTGTCTGAAGTTTAAAACAGAAGTTGGCACTGGAACTTTTTAAAGAAAAGAGAGATTTTTTTCCTTGTAAATTTGTTATGTATCATGTGTGCTACAGGAGTAGGAGCCCAATCTGAGTTTGAATTTGGATTAACTTGGGACAAAATCCTACAACCATTAGAATTAAGACTAGAGTCTTAGAGTTAGCAGCTTCCTTTCCATGAGAATGCAGTTTTCACTACTGACAAGAAAGCTCTACCTGTTGAGTAAGAAACTTGGTCAAGGGTGAACTGAAATAGCTCTTACTCCATGATCTACTTATTTCAAGGCCAACAGCTTGTAAAAATCAAGTTATATCTAAGTCTCAATCCTTTCATGTTGCTCTAGCATAATACTATACACTGGGTAATTTATAAACCACAGAAATTTATTTTTATTTTGTTGTGTGTGTGTGTGTGTGTGTGTGTGTGTGTGTGTGTGTGTGTAGTATTGAGGACCGAACCCAGGGCCTCATGCATGGTAGACAAGTGCTTTACCACTGAGCTGCATTGCCAAACTTCACAGGAATTACTTTCTTATAGTGATAGAGGCTGGGAAGTCCAAGATAAAGACTCTCATTCAGAATCTGATGAAGGCTTTCTGCCTCACATGGCAAAAAAAAAAAAAAAAAAAAGCAGTGGGTGGAAAAGGCTGAACAGGTGTGAGGCCTCTTGTCTCAGGGGCCTAGTCCTATTTTCCAAGGAGGAGCCTCAGGTCTAATCACCTCCTCCAGGTCCCACCTCTTAATACTACTGAACTGGAGACTGAGTTTTAACTTACAAATTTTGGGTACACACTGAGATCATAAGACTCTGCCACTGTGCTTGATTTCTAGACCTATATCAATTTTCTTTCGGAGAACAAAACTGGAAAGGTTTTTCACTCTTCTGCATATGTTTAGGGGTAAGCAGATTTCACATTTTGCAGTTAAACCAGATGGAAGATTTTTAGTCTAAGGAGCCTTCACACTTAGGTGGCCATGATTGTAGTGAATTAACTAAAGCATTAGTAAATTTTAGTTCTTGGAATTCTAGGCCACATCTGGAAAGACCAGTGAAGGACTTTCAGATAATGCGTTTAAAATGATGTTATAAAGCCAAGTATCAATGGTATAAGGAGACTCGGAGAGTAAATAACAAATTAGCAGGGGTTCTAGAGAAGGATGTTTCATTTAACCCAAACCAGGCCTGGGACATACAGGGTAGGGTACTGTTGCCCAGTTATCACCTCTGCTGACACTGCCAACACCCATGCTGAGCCACAGCCAAGGCAGGACTGTTTTACCCTGGATTCCAAAATATTGGGGAAGTTGGGAAAGAGAAAGTAAAAAGAAACCAATTGGAATTGTCCCTATCCCTTTTAAAACTACATGTCAATGTGTGGTTATGTACTCAGAACCACACATCTGGGTGCATGTGAGTTTTCTTTAATTCCTATTAGAGTTGTTAAAGAGAAACACAGTTTAGAAGAGACAAAATGAGATGGCAAAGTGGTACCAGATGTCACTGCCTCCAGAAGCCATTCTTAAGGGTTTCCTACTCCCCAGCCCTGCCCACATGTGGAAAAGTGAATCGTACATGATCTTCAAGTGATCCAATCTGAGAAATTGAATTAACTAAAACAACTCATTCATTCAATTAGACCACTTTACTTTTTTTTTTTTAAAGAGAGAGCGAGAGAGGAGAGAGAGAGAGAGATAGAGAATTTTTAATATTTATTTTTTAGTTCTCGGCGGACACAACAAATTTGTTGGTATGTGGTGCTGAGGATCGAACCCGGGCCACACGCATGCCAGGCGAGCGCGCTACCGCTTGAGCCACATCCCCAGCCCCTAGACCACTTTACTTTTGACCACCTTATTTTTAAAAAATTTTTTGACCACTTATAAAATACTGAGTCATGCCATTGTGTCTGGCTCTGATATTTCTCACACCAAAATAATCAATACTGACACAATCGGAATTTCCATTTTAACTATGTTAAATGTCCATCAAGATTATTTCTCTGAGGCTTCATTCACTATGACTCAACATGCTTTTCACGTGGAGAATGATGTCTGCATATGCTAATTTTTATAAGAATAACTCTAGAATCTCTCCACCCAAACCTACTTGGTTCAGAGAATAGGAAACACAATGAGACTTGAACATACTAAATAATTTGGAGGATCCCCTCTTCCTGCAGTGACTTCAAGCCAAACTACAAAATCTAAAATCAATTTCCATCATCTCCTTTCTCCCATATAAAACTAATACCTATCTGGGTATCTGATAGTTACAATTAAGTTGACTGTTCCTAAAGAAAATATACATTATTTGATGTCATGTATTTAAAACAAAAGGTCATCTTATTTAAGTTTTCAAAACCATTCTGGTTAGGGTTGGGGCTGTGGCTCAGTGGTAGAGTACTTGCCTAGCCTATGTGAGGCACTGTGTTTGATTCTCAGCACCATATAAAAATAAATAAAATGAAGGTCCATTGACAATTTTAAAAATATTTTTTAAAAAACATTCTGGTTAGAATTGCTTACACTTCCTAATATGAGATCAACCATAACAGCTCATTTTATCCTTCATTACAGAAGACAATAGATGCACATCTTCAGACGCAGTGTCCTGCGCCAGGTGCCTTGAGCTGGGTCCAGAATGTGGATGGTGTGTTCAAGAGGTGTGCCATTTTTCTTCTTTTTCTTCCTTGTTTTTCTTTTCATCACAGTTGACTTTCTCTCTAGGATGATTTCATTGCCTGACTATTTTGTGCCTTGAAGGTGTATCAGGAAAAAAAAAAAAAAGATAATGCTGACAGGAATTTTTTATTTGGTTTTATGCTTGGAAATGGCATATTTGGCTGAATATAAAATCAAATATAACTTTTTACTGGGAAAATTGTGGTAATTTTGAAATGAAGTGAAAACCATTTCATGTTTTCCATCTGTTCTATAGAAAGAAATGGCAAACACAGATAATAACTTTTGATAGTTCCGTAGGATTCCGTGTGAAATTCTTGCTGCAGCTTGAGGCACAAGGTCGTATACTCAAGTTGGAGTGTTAGCTTATGCTTCCAAATTAAAGAAAAGCAAGCTAATTTGTTGGTCCATTTTATTTGTTTTTATTTGAACTACTTGAAGATAAATGATTTACTTCATTTTCTGACATTGTACATTAATTTATTGGTTACATATGGAAAATATGATGCTTTTAACATGTGACTTGTTCATGAAATATTATATACTATGTTCTATGGAATAGAGAATAATCCAGAAAATGTTATTTTTCAAAATTAGTGTCTTTGCATTCTATAAGAGAAAAAATCCTAATGACAAAATTCTTAGTGTAATAATTATAATGTATTTCTTCTTTCTTGACTCTAAAGTTGTTTTGAAAGTTCTTTTTTCCTTTGTCAATTATATTCAATCAAAACTATCTATAGATAATAAGTTGCACTAAAGAAATTGTCTTTTACATTGGGGTTTCTTTTGTGGTGAGATTGTCTAGGCAATTTTATATTTACTTATGAAGCTCCTGGGAATTGGAACAGATAGGGTTTTAAGGGCCTTTTGCTTGATATGGAGATAAAACTGTGGCTTTGATCTCCTCTGACTTAACTCAGCAACTACAATTACCATCATCTTTCCACCTTCTCTTGTTACTGCTTGTTCTGAGGCAGCCCCCAGCAGGAAAAATTAATCAAGGATAGTAGGCATAACTATTCTCGATGAAACAAGTCAGGGGAGAGGCAGGGGTGGGGTACACAAGACAGAGCCACATCTGTAAATCAACAGATTTCTGCCTGACAGCCTGAAGCTCCCCACCTGCACTCTGGGCTCCACCAGCAAAAAGATGAGATCCTTTCCTGAGTTCAGAAGGGCTTTACACAACCCATGGAGCCAAGCAATGTGACAGACAAGACAATTTGAGTCTTAGGGTGCAATCTCATGACTTCTTATGAGCCAAAGACCAGCAGACTTCATTCCATTCTCTGAGTCTGTCTTCATCTGTAAAACCTTGAACTTGGAGTTTACTTATTCTCTCTGTTAAGAATGTTTCTGACCTAAGCAACATCATGCTATTTTAGATTCTTACTTCTTCGCTGAGAAAGATCCTTAGAGCCCTGAAACTTGGCCACCTGACCTCCAGTGCTTTCGGGAGGGTATTTGGAGAAACTTTCCAAGATGGTTCTGAAGTCCAGTTGTCAGCCAACTGGAACAGCAGATTCCAGAGGAAGCCCCATTCCATCTCACAGTTCTGACTGACACAGAGCATCAGAAAAGCCCCAACTCTGTGAAAACAATCAGTCCTGACACAGAAGGAAGGATCTGGGGTATTTAGAAGGATCAGTCGTCAGGTGGAGGGAGGGCTAAGGGATAGAAAGGTGGCTACCCACCCAGTGAGGGATGGTGGGGGACAGGTCCTTTGTCCACAGTGGGCAAACCCTCAGGTGGACTACTCAGGGAAACGTGTTAAGAAATTAACTTGACGGTTCATGTCACTAAATTTTCTTCTGTACAACGTGATATAGTCTGATTTATATATTGAAAAACAGGCCCTAGAGAGAGACTGAATTGGACTCAAATCCCAGTTCCACCAGATTCTAACTCTGTGAACTTGTATATGTTGATCGCTTTGAACCTCAGTTTTCCCTACCTCCGAACTGGGATTACTATCTGCACCTGCCTCACAGTCTTTGAAGACATAATAAAGCGACATGTGGCATATAGGGACTGCTTAAGAAATAGGAGTCATAATTAAGAGTAGGAGTCATAATTCTATAGAGCTCTGGTGAGGCTTAGAAAACGAAGATGATGGCCTGTGTTGATAACTACCTCAGAGCAAGCACCCAGTCTTAGGGCTCTGGCCAGTGTTGGCAACGTTTTTGAGAGGAGCTGTCCACTCCCTTCAGGCTTACCTGACATCATCGGGAGACAGAAAGCATTGTTGAATTTTGGAAGATCACCCATCATTTAGGCACAGATGCAACGGGTGTCTCTGATTTTTCAGCCAGTAAGCTAAAGGGAAAGGGAAGGATGAGGTTTTGTTTTTCCCCTATTCATGATGAAAACATAAACAATAATAAAATAAGCCTGGCTTATGTCATTTTCAAGGCTGGGAGAAATTAAAAATAACAAAATAACTAGACAGTGGATACTCCCTTGGATTGTTTTCTTATGTAGCATTTTTATCTGCCATTCCATGTCTTTTACTTTCTCTTTTCTTCCATGATACATAGAAGTAATCGGAAAACAATTGGGATACAAAGGACCTCATCAGTATTAGGTTTAATACCTTATGTGTCTTGTTAATTAATGTCTATGAAAGACATGTTAAGTTTTGAAGAATTATCCTCCTCCCCTGGCTGTCACTCTGATATATAGTGTCACAGCACAGCCAGAAGCTTAGAGGAGCATAGTTATTCTAAAATATGATGTGAAGGACATTCGCTGTCAAAGGAAGATGATAGAATTTTTCCATTTCTGTTCAGGTTGCCATGTTTGACAGTCAAAAAGACTCAGACATTAGTAGGGGGGAAACTTGAGCTATTTATATCACCAGAATACTATCTGAAAACAGATGAAAGTAACAACTGATAAAAAAACTTGACAGGGTAACTTCAACCTGACCTTTTCATTCTCAGAGACATTTTAGATGTAGAAACTTAGACTATGAATTTGCTTTTGTTCTTCTTGTAGGAAAAAAGTAAAGCATAAAGATTAGAATAAGTTAAAATGACACAAAATATCAAAAATTAAAAGGGTGTGGTTTCAAATTGCTTTTCTTTTGTACAAAGTGAAAAGTAGGCCACAATGGGCAGGAGCAACATTCCATTCTTGAGTATGATGCCACAGTCTTTTCTTCCCTTTTCAAACCTAATTGGCCAATTGGCAATGTTTTTCTGACTTAGTTTTTACAGTGGGATAAAAACAGCTGTGCTGATTCAGATATTGCAAAATAATAGAGAACATTTTGCCGATTTCAGCAAAACTATTTGACATTTAAAGGTCACATGGCATAAACTGATGTATAGTTACAGTAAATGACACCCCTCCTTTCTTCTCCATTCTGTATGCACAAATAACAGTCTATGATGGCTGAAAAGAAGAAAATAAAGCTATTTGTACTTTATTTCCTTTCCATGACTTGAAGTCTTAAGTTTTTACATCTGTAATATGCATGTGGTCTTTGTCTGTAACATGTCATCTGACACATGATCAAGCACACATGTACCAAGCCTTGTGTACTATAAGTATCCCCTACTTGGGAGAAATGAGGTCCCCCACTTAGCCTGTGGGGAAGAATGTGACACATACTATAGCAGTTATTTGCTACCTCCCTCCAGGAAACTCCATGTTGTTTATAAATTCTATCACAATGCATAGAATGTTTTAAGAGTACATAGAATAAATTCAGATAAAAGAAACTAAGGCTTTGGCTATTTTCAATTTTTGGAATATGATTAATCAACAAAGCAAACTAAATGTTTCTGTTTCCATAATGAACTAATCAAATGTCACCTGGAGATTTTGATTGGAAAGAAAGACATGTTCCCTTTTGCCTTTTAGTTAATGCATGTATTACAGGATGAGGCAGGCTCTAATTCAGGACGAGCACTATAAAGGACTACATAATAAATTTAGACTCTGTGGGTCACACACCATCCCTATCACACATTTTTCTTTTGTTGTTATGTTACAGGCTTTTAAAATGTATAAATAATTTTTTGGCACTTAAACCATAGAAAAATAAGCTGAAGTCTGGATCATCTCACTGACCCTAGTTTGCCATGCCCTGCTCTATTTGAGAAAAGAATGAAGATTTTGTATGAATGTGCCATGGCTGTCCCTGGTTATAATTAGTGACCTCATATTCAACACTCAATGTCCATGTCAACTTGATAATCCCCTTCTTCCATGCCCTGTGATATTCTGTGTTCCCCCTAAATTTAATTCCCATAACAGTTATATTTACTTTCTTAATGTGTGAATTCACCCATAGTCTGTTGATTTTGATGATAAGAGCTCTATCTGCCATCCATTTCATTACCCCTGCACCTACCAAATTATTGTCCTTCAGCACATATTCAATCAACATTCTTTAATTTAGTGATGAATGTATTAAAAATCCAATTCTTTATATCATCTTAATTAAAGGAGAAATGATTGAATGATGAATCTATATAGCCATTGCTAGGAAGATTGCTGAGCAAATACCCAGCTCATTTGTAATCAAATACCCCAAATAACTCAGGCCAATGTTATACATAATAAAATATATTTTCATATTTTCAATACACTTTCCATTCTTAGGAAAAAATCCCAAATTTTTACATGAAAAATAAATATATAAAATTTTTCCCCTCAGGATAAATTAATAAGGTTATTGCATTAATTCCAAGTTTATTGCATGTCTCTTAGATAACTCTCAACTACTCAAGGCTAAGTAGTGAAAATTTTAGATTCAGTTGCAAAGTCAGGAGAATTTGATCTGCAGTATTATATCTCTCCACGTCATCATGAACATCTCCATTAGTTTACTGAATTGCTTTTAGGCTGTTGTGTGTATAAGAGGCTGAACAACTTTATGGTCTAAGAAATTAGATTTCCAATTTATTCTTTTATGAATTTTTGGCATTTAATTAGGCATGTATTTCTAAGGACTTGCTTTCATATTCCAAACATAACAGTATATAATAAACATACCAGTTGAGTCCTTTGAGAACTGAGACTCACATTTGGAACCAATGAGTGGTCTATTTTGGCTGAATTTTCTTCTGGATCTGTCTTTCCAAAGTAAAATATTTAGAAAGAATTAAGACAGTATAACTTTACAGTGATCAGTTAACAACATTTAAAGTGCTTGAGTTCAATCTCCTCTTTAATAATTCATTTTATTCTTTTAAAATGAGATTTAGAAAGTAAAGTTTTATTTATGACAAATATGCCACTGTTCTTATTGGAAGCATGCAACTAATTTAAACAGTTGCATAATTTGTTCTGCCCTGAAAATGGCGTATTTGAAATATTTGCTATGTATATACTTTCTTTGGTTATAACTGAGATGATATAAACTGAAAACATCAGTGATTTTCTTTTTTTTAAACAGGATTTTATTTCAGGTGGATCAAGAAGTGAACGTTGTGATATTGTTTCCAATTTAATAAGCAAAGGCTGTTCGGTTGATTCGATAGAATACCCATCTGTGCGTGTAATCATACCAAGTGAAAATGAAATTAACACTCAAGTGACGCCAGGAGAAGTGTCAATTCAGCTGCGTCCAGGTTTGGTGATTTTTTTCAAATAAACCTATGATGATTGAAATTACAATTCATAATAATTTGCTTGCATTTAACATTATGTGGCAGGCAGTATTATTGTAGAGACCACAGTGAGCTCAGAATCAAGAAATTAGAATTCTGGGTTTTATTATGCTTCTAGCTAGCTCTGTGACCTTAGATACCATGCAAACCTGACCCACACATCTAATAACTATGTTTTCTGATCCTATAATTCAATCACATTGTGATGTAATTGTGTTCCTTCTCCCCTGCAAGAAGGAAATATATTTGTACTCATTCTTCCATTCTTAGCTGAGAGGTGGTATATAGTAAAAAAAAAATCTATAAATGTTTACTGGATTGATTGATTGATTAATTAGCAGATGTTAAACTAAGTACTTAAAACCTTTGGGATGAATTTTTCAACACAAAACATGAAGTCATGATTATCATTATTACCTTGACCAGCTTTGTAATACCCCTGACATTAATGTATACCTTTGTTCCTATACTTCTGTAGGACTTCCCCTTCCATCACAGAGTTTACCACAATTTGCATGTGTTGTAGGCTTCTGGAAAGTATTCATTTCCTCCAGATAATTCCACTATACAAACTACATACAGCAGATAAGTCAAGGTACACGAGTATGCATCATTGAATTAGATAAATTGGTTTAGCTCAGTATGAAATTACTTTCAAGCCTTCATTATTTTGGTGTGCGTGGTCATATCTTGTCATTAATTTTTTGAATAATCATTCTTGACACACTCCATATCCCATTCCAAAAGCTCAATATTTCTTCCTGACTCTTTGGTTACCAGAAAAACAAAGTCCACTTCTCTCTTGGCCCTAGGCATGTTCCCAGCTTCCAATTAAAACTGTGCTCTTCTTCAGATAAAGCAATGACATAGCCCAGGATGGACATACATGAGTAACAGTTGGAAAGGTAGAAGGGTGTACACAAAAAGGAAAGTAATTAGGTTAGAGAGATTGCAGCTCTTGCCACCTTTAATTGAAAAAAAAAAAGTGTCGTTGAGTTCTTAGAAAGAGAGAGGGAGAGAAACAAAAATGATGTGCTCTTTTTAACTCAATATATTCATTAAAATCTTCCCTTAGATATTCACATGGAGCTCTATTGACATACAGCCTTTTAATGCTATGGTTGCTCAATGGTCTTTAGTGATTTTTTTTTTCTTCCTGTTATTCTAAGGTTCATCAGCCCAGTTTTCTAATCTATATAAACTGACCTAGGTTTTCCCCTAAACTCCTTCCAAAATCCCCAATTTCTTAAACATTTCCATATCCCCAGTAATACTCTCATCTGGTGGCTTTTCTATTGTTCATAAAAGACTTCAGGGTCTTAATCCAGGGAGTTGCCTTTTTCAGAGTGTATCAACATCAAACAGTAACATCCACTTCATTCAGTTATATTTTGACTTTCTGATGTGTGTCTGGGCATGTTCCCCAGAGCATACTTGAATTTGAGGACAAGTTGTTGATATTTATCTCTATTACAAATCTTTCTCCCAGTATTCTAGCCTCTAGCCTTTCCACTCTTCGTTTTCTTTCAATAGGTGCTCATTTTAAGAGAATTTTAAAATACAACTGGTAATATTTGCAGATAAAGTACATAGGAACTATATAATACAGCTCAACAATTAAACATAATCAATAAACTTGACACTTTAGTCTATTTGGCTGTCATAACAATACCATATACTGGGTGGCACAAACACTAGAAATTTATTGTCTCAGAGTTCTAGATTGGCTACAAATCTAAAAGGCTTAGAAGTCCAATATCAAGGTTCTAGCAGATTTGGTTCCTGGAAAGGGCTTACAGTGGGCCACCTTTTTGATGTGTCACATGGCACATGTCAGAAAGAGGGAGAGAGAATATCTAGTATCTCTTCTTAGAAGGTCGCTGTCATGACCTCACCTAACTAAACCTAATTATCTTCCAAAGGCCCATCTCCAAATATCATCACACTGGGTATTAGAGCTTTACCATATGTATTTGGTGCAAATACAATTCAGTCTGTAACACTTGATATATAGAATACTATTTTATAAAGTCCATGGAATATTTTTAGACATTAATCATATTTTAAACAAGAAAACTCAGTTCCAAAAAACAAAAACTATTTTTATAGGCCAACATCTTTGAGCACACTGCAATAAAATTTGAAATCAATACAAAAAGATAAATAAATATTAAATAACATAAAAATTAAGAAAAACTTCTTCTAAATAATCCCAACTACAGAATAAATCAAAACTCTAGTTATAGACTAATAATAACAGTAACAAAAACATTAAAATATATGGATGTGACTAAAATTGTTGTCAGGAAAATTCAAAACATTAAATACTCTAATTTTTAAAAAGAATAAGTAAAGATGAACTTGTATTCAAACAAAGATAGAAAAACAGTAAGAAACAAAATATCCATAAAAAAAAGAGTAAGGAAGTCATAAATTTTAAAAAAGTAATGAAATGTAAAAGAAAAAGAAAAATACAAAATGGATGTATAATCCAACAGCTAAAGCCCAATAATAAAATAAGTAAATTATTGGCAAATCTAATTAAGACAACAAAAAATGAATAATCTATTTATGTAAACTATAGTCACAGAAACAAATATTTAAAAAGAGAACAATAAAATATTAAGCATAAAATATATGGTAAAAATTTTTAAATTTTTAAAAAATGTTAACATTTTTCAATAAATAATTATTTATTTATATTTATTATAACATATTTTATATAATATATATGCCTGTATATATTTATATATATAAATTAGGCCTGAATGTTTTTATGGTAATAAATGTTTCATGTACATTCAAACTTTCAAGAAATATATTATCCTATTTCGTATAAGCAGGTAAATTTAGGTACATCCTGGAAGCTTCTCAATTGTTATAAGGTTAGTATTATCCCACTATCAGAGTCATAATGGAATTTTAGCAAATAAATTAGACTACATATGCTAAAAATAATATCATCAAACAAATAAGCTTAAGGTAATAAACCAAAGATAATTGATTCTTGGAATTGATGTATTTTTGCAATCTCAGTCTGGTAAAAATAGATAAAATGTATTCTTATCTCTTTAGTTACTGAAAAATCATTTAATAAAATTTAGTGCCCATTCCTGGCATTTAAATTAAAGAATACTTACTTAATGTATATTAAGGAATATATATTTATATTATATATATTTATATTTATTCTAGAAGTTGTACAAAGACATAATTAGATATGAAAACCAAATAGGAATTTTAAGCATTTTGTAAAAATCAAGCAAACTTATCATTATGTACCTACCTGAAAAATCCAAACAAATCAACTAAAACTATTAACTTTTTTTTATTGCGGCATGTTGTTTTTTACAATATTCAAACTCAATTTGCTATGCAGTATCAATTATGATGATAAAAGATGAACTCATAGGAAAAACCTTTAAATATGAATTATCTAGGAACAAACTTTAAAAAAAAATATATGGCAGAATCCATTGTACTATGTAAAGCAAGTTATGAATAAATAGAAAAGAATTTTATATACTTAAATAGGAAGATAACATCATAACCAAGGCAGTTCTTCAAAAACATATTCCATAAATATAACAAAATTCAATGCCAGGCATGGTGGTGCATGCCTATAATTTCAATGGCTTGGAGGCTAAGGCAGAAGGATCAAGGGTTCACAGCCAGCCTCAGCAAAAGTGAGGCACTAAGCAACTCAGTGAGACCCTGTCTCTAAATAAATACAAAATAGGGGTGGGATGTGACTCAGTGGTGAGTGTCCTTGAGTTCAATCCCTGGTACGAAAAAAAAATTCAAGGAAATCCATAAATATCAGACAATTTCAATCAAATTCAAATGTATTTTAAACAAATATTTATTGAAACTTATTATTAGTGTGTTTTGATACATAACAGCATATTTCTTCTGAATACATTTATAGAAATACATTTGGTGGGTGTATCAATCAGTTTTCCATCACTCTCAAGAAGTACCTGAGATAATTGACTTAACCCAGTAGACCCCAAATTTTCAGTTTTGTGACTACTTCAATGAAATTGACATACATGCATTAAAATATGTTGGAAATAATAACCAAGAGTTTATATATTATATCTACTAATATTAATATAATTTTAATGGTTACATTATAACTATATTCTCATTATTATTTAATTATATTTCATATACTATATTTACATTTTTATACATGTTTCACCTCTGAAACTAAGGACAATATGAGTTAAAGTGAGGAAAAATTTATTTTGGTTCATGGTGTCGGATATATCAGTTCATGGTCACTCTGTTGCTTTTGGTCAAAGCAGAACATTATGACAGAAGAACATGTTGCACAAAACCTGGTCACATCAAATGGCCACAGAGTAAAGAGGAAAAGAAGAAAGAGCAGGGAATCCCAGTCTCCTTCAAGAGCATACTCCCTGACCTAACTTCCTCCATCTAGGCCAAGGCTTCCCCACTTCCCAGTAGCACCACAGGCTGCCTTTAGCATGTGGGCTTTTAGGGGACATTTAAGATCCAAACCATAACACTAAGTCAAATATATGTAAATTTATTTAGGTTTTTAATGTATATTATCATATGATTCACAAGAATATTTGAACTCTAGTTTGGACGTTCATGAATGAGCATTTCCTCTTCAATTTTTTTTAATGTGTTCAGTTTATTAGATATTACTTGTCTCGTTATCTGTTTTTTGTTGTTGTTGTTGTTGTTGTTGCCTTTCTCCTAGTACTAAAAATTCCAAATACCTTTCCTAAGCTCTCTCTCTCTCTCTCTCTCTCTCTCTCTCTCTCTCTCTCTCTCTCTCTCTCTCTCTCTCTCTCTGTTTTTGGTGTGATCTACCTCTCTATAGAATTTCTATTATTATTATTTTTCTAATTAAATACTAATTTTTAGCAAGCTATCATATATGAAGTTTATTTATTATTTGCCTCTAATGAATGTAACCAAATCCT